GTCCCGTACCTGGCTCTCACCAGAAACTCCTACTTTCTTTCTGCGCTTCCCAAAGCAAGACACACCCTGGAGGGAAAATACCTAGCGACCAGAAGTGGGGACCACAGTTATCTTTAGTCGCACCCACCTGAAGTCGAAGGCCGGTCTCCACTTCCCGGCTGGTAGCAGCGCGGCCACCCAAGTTGGGTCCCACCCGTTTCCTTTCGAGCCCCTCCCACGAAGGCTCCGCCYCCTGCGGTCGGACCCGCCCAGCGAGGCCCGGGTTGGCCAGCGCCGGGGGTGGGCGTGGCCGGAGGCTCCCGAGCGCCGTGTACGTCACCGAGCGGCGCCGAGGCCGCGGGCTGAGCCGGAGGCGGTAGCTGCCGGGCGGTTGGCTCCMGCATTGGGGCCCGGACCCGAGCCGCGGCGGGAAGCGAGGCCGCAGCCGGTACCGGGGAGGGGCGGGGAGCGGGATCCTCGGCGCGGGCGCTCCTGGTTTCGACCCGGCTCCGCCTTTCGCGTGCTGCGCTGTGCGCCCGGCCCTGCACGGCGAGCGGGTTCTCTCCGCGTGTGCGGCCCTGTCCTCCTACGGGCGCCGCTCGGGCTTCCCTGTCCCCGGAGACAGCCGGGCGAGGGTCGATCGGGGCGCAGAGGGAGTCCCGGGCCGTGGGGCCCCGCGCCCTGCGGCCTGGTTCCTTGGTTTACCCCCTGCGCCCCGCCCCCTCAGGCCGCGGAAGATGACCACACTCACGCGACAGGACCTCAACTTTGGCCAAGGTAGGGAGGCCAGACCGGCAGACCCTGAGGGAGGGGTCTGGGCTTCGGGCTTCCCCGGAGCACCGGCGAGTGTCCCCTTTTACAGTGGTGGCCGACGTGCTCTGCGAGTTCCTGGAGGTGGCTGTGCACCTTATCCTCTACGTGCGCGAGGTCTACCCCGTGGGCATCTTCCAGAAACGCAAGAAGTACAACGTTCCGGTCCAGGTGAGCGCACACCGCAGGGTTGGGCCCCGGTGGCCCCAGAATCTCAGAGTGGGTAAAAGAATTTTATCCCCCCACCACCAGGCCTCCTCTTTCTGGTAGCCCTGCAGTTACTGGTAGCCCTGCTTACTGTAGAGCTTTCCCTCGCCTTCCCTTAGCCAGAATTTAGAGAACCTCAAATTAGAGTTGTCCCGGGGGCATAGTGGTATTCTAAAAGAGCTCCTGCAACCAGCATGGTGACATACAGCTACTCTGGAGGCTGAGGCAGGAGGATTGCACATCCAAGGCCAGCCTGGACAGCTTAGTGAGACCCTGTCTCAAAATAAAAAAGGGCTGGGGATGCAGCTTAGTGGTAGAGTGCTTGCCTAGTATGTGCAAGGCCCTGGGTTCCATCCCCAGTAGGGGGAGAGGGAACTAGCTAGCTCCTCAGCCAACCAGCCAGCCAGAGGGGAGCCTTAGTTTGGGGAGAGGATTCCCAGAAGTTTCTAGCAATTTCTTCCCCATTCATTGGTTCTTTAATGGGTGTTTAAGGTTAAAAGGCAGATAAAGCAGTAAACATGCTGTGCTATATCCAATCCCTAAAGTGCCTGTWCCATAGAAGGCACATTAGAATACATGACCACTAGATATTGGAAGTGGAACAAACTTAAAGGTTATACAGGGAAAAGGAAAAGCCAAATAGCAACCAATGTGTCCTAGGTATGTACTTAAGACTTAAGAGATGAAATAATTGAAGCTCAGAAAAGTTAWGTAATTTTCCCAAARCCACAYAGCTCCTTAGTGCTTAATTTTCAAACTCTGATTAAGTTTGTTGAGATTCTCTGAGAAAATGGCCATGGGCACAAATATAACTTGTGCACAATTTTAGGGACTTTTCAGACTCTTTGAAAATCCCATTCCTAATGTTCYATTAAATGCTAGTGTTGAGACTGAATTATTCTTTGAACTTTTCTTTACCATGGATAAACTYATAATTTTTAGCCCCATGAAGGGAAGCCAGATCTCTTGGGCAGGGAGCCCTGGGGAGCTGCTGGGTTTCTGTTCAAAGGCAAGCGGTCGGGTGGCGTGTCAGTTTTCCCCCGTGCTTCTGGCCTCAGCAGCCGTGTGGGGTTGTATGCAGATGTCCTGCCACCCGGAGCTGAACCAGTACATCCAGGACACACTGCACTGTGTCAAGCCACTTCTGGAGAAGGTGAGGGGACACCAGGCCCTTCCACCCTGTCACCCCAGTCTGTTCCTCTTGAGTGGACTCTGTGGGCCCCCATGGCTCTAATACCCAGAATCCTGTCCCCTGCACTCCAGAGACCACTCCCTACCAATCGACAGGCCCCAGGGCATGTGGGCCACATTTGGGGAGCCTTCTGCGGGGGGCTGGAGYCTGGGCTAGCTGGGCTGGCCGAATGGGGGCTGCCCCAGAGGGTCTGAGTTCCTGCCATGTCTGCCCCCCACCATAAGTTCTGTCTGGCCGGGGCCCCAGGCTTGCCTTTCCTTCCTGTCCTGGTCTTAGGCTTCCTGGGCCTCCACGGCGCCACCCTCTCCTCCCAGCTGCACCTCTCGTGTCCTGGGGTGCCACTCTCTGGGCTTTCAGGGAGCCTTGGGCTAATGGTGGAGGTGGCCAGGGAGTACCCTTTGCTACCTTCCTTGGGCAGGGAGGGGCAGGGGGKCAGGGTAGAGTGCCCGGCTCTGGAGCTCTGGTGCCTGTCCTTGCAGAATGACGTGGAGAAGGTGGTGGTGGTGATCTTGGACAAGGAGCACCGCCCGGTGGAGAAGTTCGTCTTTGAGATCACTCAGCCTCCGCTGCTGTCCATCAGGTGGGCTGCTGTCCYTGCCACCTGCTGGCTGGCTGTGACCTGGAGCAGTGACCCCTCTACCCCACTGAAGGCAGCCTCTGACCACCTGAGAGGAGAAATTGGCAAGACGTGCCATTTCTTGAGACATGTGTGGCTGCATCTTTGTGGACAGTACACAGTTGTCATGGACATCCTCCTGTGTTGCACTTAAAAATCCTAGCATTGATGACTGCCAGCCCTGACCTCACTCTGTGGACACCAAGGTCCAGAGAGGTGACACAGCTGCCCCAGAGTGCCCCAGTTTCCCAACTTAGCATCAGTCCATAGTGAACTAGAAGTTGGCCTTGGGCACGCGCATGCTTCCTATGGGAGGTCGGCACTGGACCTGGCACTAACCTGTTCCCACTGGCCGCATGGCCCCAGACAAGCCCTTCCCCTTCTGGCCTGGTGTGCAGAGTCCTGGCTGCGTCCTGGCTCTCCTGCCTGACTCCACACTGGAACCGCCTGGGAGGTCTCTGTGCTCTTCCTCCACTGTGTCGGGGGTGGGGGGCTGGGCTGGCATCCTCAGGGGCACTGCAGGGGCTCTGGGCCTGGAGGAGGGGTGCCTGCGTGACCGGAGACCTCCTCTCACTCTCAGCTCTGACTCTCTGCTGTCCCACGTGGAGCAGCTGCTCCGAGCCTTCATCCTGAAGATCAGCGTGTGTGATGCTGTCCTGGACCACAACCCCCCAGGTCGGTGACCTCCCCCTAGTGTGTCCCTGGCTGTCTTGGGTTGCTCTGTATTCCCTGTTTGGCTATACCCACCCTGGTCTTGACCTTCGTGCCCACCTCCTGGGAAGCTTCCCTGATTGACTSCACCTGGCTTCAGCCTTCTAGCGACTGTGCCCCCTCTTAGCCCTCAGTGCTCACTCTGCACCATGGGGTTTCTGAGCCAGCTGGGSAGGTGGGACAGGGCTGGGCCCAGGGCAGGCTCCTGGTGGCTCAGTCTTGGTCAGACTCTCGCCTCTCCAGGCTGCACCTTCACAGTTCTGGTGCACACGAGAGAAGCTGCCACCCGMAATATGGAGAAGATCCAGGTCATTAAGGTGAGATGAGACCAGTCTGGCGGGACAGGATGGCCACTGGGGGGCTCTGAAGCACGATGCCACAGCTGCAGGCATGAGTGTGTTGTGGCTGGTGTCCTTGGGTGCTGGCAGCAGTGCCTGGCACCCGGCAGGTTCCCATGAGTGTTAATTGTGTGGCCGTGTGCCTGGTCCTGCTCCATCTGGGCACCCAGAGCGGAGAGGAGCCCAGATGGAGCCACATGCTGGGGCTGCCAGCTCATCTTGCCTCTTCTGAAGTGGGGGTTCTCAAGGGAGGGGTCCTTACCCACCCATTTCAGATTCAGTGCTTGAGGCTTGGAAATCACAGGAGGTTCCAGCCTTCCTGGTGGGGAAGCCCGTGAATCTACATTGCCAGCAGCTCTCCAGGGATTCTGAGGACCCCAGCTCTGGAGGGGAGGGTTTGCAAAGGGAGGGCTGGCCAGGGTCCCACTGTCCCACCCCTCTTTGTGGGTAACCTTCCTAGGACTTCCCCTGGATCCTGGCAGATGAGCAGGACGTCCACATGCATGACCCCCGGCTGATCCCCTTGAAGACCATGACATCAGACATCTTAAAGGTGAGCTGGCTGAGGAGGTCCAGCCCAGAGCCCAGGCTTGGAAGAGGACTAGGGAGGCTCCGCCCCTTCCCCCTCCCTCCACCTTGGGCAGAGACCACCTGCCACCTGTGAGCTCGCCAGGGGGTGGCAGTGGCCCTCACTGAGGCTGCCTGCTTCTTCTCATTAGATGCAGCTCTACGTGGAAGAACGAGCTCACAAAAGCAGCTGAAGTGCACCTGCCACCCTGATGAGGGGGTCCCCAGCCCAGGGCGGYGCTGCAGGGCCACCCAGACTCCAAGTGCTCTTACTGCCTCTGTGTACAGATGCCACCTCCAGCCCAGGGCTGCTCAGGCTGGTGGCCTTCATGGACAAGGCCTCCCTAGGAGGGCAGTCGGGACGGTGGGACCATGATGTCTTGGTCTCTTGGCTTCGGCTGGCCAACACTGTCTCAGATACTGTGCTGTGAGTTATTTCAATAAAAGGGCCCCAAGGGCTGACTGGGCTGTCACTCACTAGAGCAGGGACAAGTGCAGCGAGCCAGCCTGGGCTGCTTCTCTGTCGGGGTGCCAGCACCCCACCCCACCTGTGAACTCAAGCCCAGGCTGGTTTCGCTGGAAACATTTATTTTGACAAAACATCAGCACTGTGTGACCRTCTGCCCAAGGCTGGAACTGGGGCTGGAGCTCTGGGGCAGGGACCTCACTGCGCACTACAGGCTCAGCTCTTGCCTGGAGGGACCCTCCCTTTGTCCTGGACAGAAGATGGACGGATGGCTGCAGATGACCACAGGCTGTCCTCTGGCCCATGGAGATGAAATGGGAAGGGCCACTAGGAAGCCTCCCCCTGTCCCTGCAGTGTCTCAGGCAGAGYCCCGGAGGGAGCCGGGTTCCTGCTGGTCTTGGGGCTGATGATGATGCTGCTGTTGGTGACACGAGGCCCATACCAGCCTGCCCAGAACTGGGTGTCCTTGCCCCCGTGCTGGAACAGGATGTGGCGGACGCCTGGAGGGTAGTCGGAGAAGGTGTGGGAGACCTGGGGAGAGGAGGTAGCCACCGTTACTGGGGACGGAATGAAGAGGGGTGACCCTCCTCCAGCCAGGTCCCGCCCCTGTTTGCTGCCATCCTGGTGCTGGGAGAAGGATGGGCAGCAGGTGAGGCCTCACCTCTGTCCACGTTGCGTCGTTCCACTGATGGACAGTCACGGGAGGGGGCTCGAAGGAGGCCAAGACGATGTAGTCGGCGGAGGCCAGCTGCACCCGGATGTGGTAGGAGCAGCCACAGTCGGCCCTGGCAGCGAACCTGGGTGGGGTGGGGGGGGGTTCAGCTTCCATCAAGAGCCACCGAAGGCTGCCCCGGGGGCGGGGGCAGGCCAAGCCCAGGACCTGAGCTTGCTCCCTCTRCCAGCTGCTCTGCCCAGGAGGCCCACCTGGCCTTGGCACTCCCTGTGCCCTGGGGTGCAGTCTATCCATGGGGAGCCTTAGTTACCCCATTTGAGAAAACGGGCAGCCTTTGAGCATTCTACCAAAGATCTGACCCCAAAACAAAAAGGTCCTCTACAGAGACCAAGGCCCCATCTGTCTAAGTTGTGTCACCTATGTCACAGTGGCCCAGAACATTCAAGTTGGGGACCTGTGTGGTGGGGGCTGGCAGAGCTCACCTCTCCTCAGTTCAGCCACCCTTCAAACATCACCCCTTCTCTCTCAGAGGTGGCCCTGGGACCTGCTGGACCTGGTGCATGGCCCAAGCCAGTGCCAGTGCCTCACAGTTCTGTGTGGGCAGGAGCCCGGGCAAGTGCCGTGGGATGGGCKGGTGCAGCCGGTGGCAGAGCAGGTGCAGAGCATGCCTGAGGCCGAGCCCTTCCCCAAAGCCGTAAATTCAGAGAGCTGTGGGTGACCAGGGAGAAAGTGTGTGGAGGTGCCCACAGAATCCTGCTGCTCCCAGGCCTTAGTGACTATTTTCATCCATAGGCCTCAGTCTCCCATCTGCAAACGGGCCAATGTGTCCTGCTGACTACATCGTGGAGAGGGAGGGGGACTGGGTGCTGGGTCCCTAGCCAGCAGCCCTAGCCCCCAGGATGCTGCTGGGACGGCAGGGGCGCTCACCGTAGGCTCTCTGACCCAGTGACTATGGCAGGAGAGAAGGAGAGGGTGYGCAGCGGGGACACTGGCCATGGGCCCCACTCACCAGTCCTTCACCACGATTTCAGGCCGGAATGTGTCCAGCAGCTCCTCCCAGTAGCCCTCAGCCTTGAGGTCCACCAGCTGGGACTTGAGGCACATGCTGAGAGGCAAAGGGCAAGGCTGTCACACCCATATGTGCTATGCAGGACTCTGGGCCCAGTGAGGTGGCCCAGGAACCCAGGGGCTGCTCTCAACCGCTACAGGACTCCATCGTCCACTCGGGGACAGACCCATGGGAAACAACATGTAGGTGATGTGACCCGCTTAGGCCTAGGCAGCATCTGATCCCAGTTGAAAGGCCCAGTCTCCTGGTGGCTGTGGAGGGCCTTCTGTGACTCCACTCCTAGATCAGGACCGCCCGCAGACACCCTGCCTTACCCTACTGCCCCGCGAACTCCTGGYGGCCTGAAACTCCTCTCCCCCTGCCTGGACATGAAGCTTACTGGCTCCAGGAAGCTGTGGGCTCTGAATGTGTCTGGGAACTGCCTCCCCCAAGCTTCCCGAGGCCCTCAGGTAGGCCTGAGGTTTGCAAAGGTGTCCTGGTCCTCAGCCCTCAACCCAAGYCTGCTGGCTTCAGCCCGTCTTACCCGTAGGAGGTGACAAAGTACTTCTTGACTTGGGGGTCAGGAAAATCTGTGCCATGCTCTCCAGGGAGGCTCTCCACCTTCCAGTGGTCCCCCCCATTGGAGTCGATTCGCCAAGACCCCATATCCTCTAGGAGAAACGGAACTGAGGTGAGGTGAGATCCCTGCGGAAAGCTGAGGCCCACCTTCCCCAGCTGGCCGGCTTTCAGGCCAGTGACACTGCAGCCAGGGTCAGTCCCCCACCAGCTGAAGAGCATCTCACCTGTGCCTCGGGGCCCCCAGTACATTCCCATCTGGGTCCCCGTGCTGGGCTCTGACCTGGACTCATTCCCTCCCGCTCTGTTCTGATCTGGCTTGGCTCCTAAGGTGCAGTTCAGTTCTTAAAATTAAATCTCAAAAGAGCCTGTGAGAGTGCTTGGTCCCCAGGACTGATGTGAGTTCCATCAATGCAMGCCACTCACTTGACCACTGGCCTCCCCTGACGTCCAGGTGGAAGAGGACGTCAATTAACTGCATAACCACAATCCGGGAGGACTGGCTGGAGGGTTTCAGGGAACCTGTTATTCCAATATGACTCTACCCGTGGCAAGAGTGGCCASTGGGGACAGGCACCCTGGGCTGGTGGCTGTAGGAACCCTGTGTTCAAGGACCTCCATCGAGTRGGCTCAGCAGGTGCCGGGCGCCTCCTCCTCACACTGAGCTCAGAGGAGCTGAGCAGGCGACAGTGCCCCAAGCAGAGAACCAAGAGAGTAATGCAGAACCAYGGGGGCTAGGCTGGTCTGAGCTTAGGCTCAGGGAAGATCCAGCCAAGCCTGGGGTGACTGCTGGCAGACGCAGGCCCAGCCCCAGGCTCTGGGAGGCCCCATTGGCGACTTGACTGGGCAGCTTATGAACAGAATCTGGAGCAGGCAGGAAGAAGGCTGGGCACTGGCAGTGGGCCTCTGAGAGGGCCTGAGCCTTTGTTAGTCAGGACTGGACCTCAAGACTGCCAGTTCCAGATCTCMGGGCATGTCATCAGGGCCCACAGMCCCCGCCTAGCAAATGGAGCTGCCCTCAAGGTCAATGAGGACGAAGAGAAAACCAGTGGAAAAAGACCTAAGTGCCCGGATGAGGCCTCTTAATTGCCACTGTGTCCTGAAAGGAGCCTGGTGCTCTGGGCATGGTAGGTGCTAAGTGAAGGAAGGAGGAAACAGACACAAGAAACCCTCCTGGAAAACACAAATGTACTACAGGCGACACGACGGTCCCAAACTATGACTGGAGTCACCTCTGGATCCTCACTCTTTGCAGAGGAAGGTTACCACGTCTGGAATATCCTCAGACAAGTACAAGTGCCSGGCGCAGAGAAGGCCCTGGAGAGCAAGGCAGCTTGTGCTGAGCTAAGGGGACAGGCAGATCTGCAGCGTGTTCATCCAGCAAACATCTCTGGGCACCTGCCACGCGAGGGCATCTTTGTGGGCACTGTACAGTGGCTCATTAGGGCCTCTGGAACTTCAAGTTTGTACCAGAGGGGAGAAAACTGTAGCGTGAACAGTGCTGCTACAGGGCGGTAAAAGGTAGGCAACAGGTGGGAGGCACTGTGTTTAGATGTGAGGTCAGGGCAGGTCTCTGAACTGAGACCTGAAGAATGGAGAGGAGCCAAGGTGTTAGGGGACTGGAATAGCAAGTGCAAGGGCCCTGAAGTTCAGAAAAGCCAAGGAGCCATCGCCGTGGTAGCCCCAGCCCACCTTCAGCACACGGGTTGCGTAGGAGGTTCCTGCGGAGGCTGCACAAAAAGTAGAAGATCTTCCAGTCGGCCACAGGCTGGTCCCAGTCCTCTGTGACAAAGCCCTCGCGCAGGCATTTGCGCTTCCAGAGGGTCACGACGTCGATGAGGTCTCGCCAGAGGCTGCAGACAGGCCGGCAGTGCAGCAGCAGCTGGCGGGCAGGCACGTGCGTGAACAGCTCCAGCAGGATGTTCTCGGGCAGCTCGTTGATGCTGACCAGGGCCATGGCGGTGGAAGGTAGTGTGCACCCAAGGGCCTGCGGGGGACAGTGGTGATGAGCCCAGAGCAGCCAGGTGGACCCTGAGATCCAAAGGACTGGCTCTTCTCCACTCCTGTTTCCTCTTTTGTGAAAACAAGGCGTTAGGGAGCATTCCCAGGGTCTTCCCACTGCACAGGGGTGGTCCCATTTACACACATTAGGAAGAGTAAATAAAAGTAATTAAGATTTTAGGCACAGAGCAGGGCACGGCAGGCCACCCGGATGGCCCCAGCTACTTGACTTCAAAGGCTGAGGCAGGAGGACAACAACCCCAAGAGTTCAAGATCAGCCTGGGCCAGGTAGTGACCTGTAGCTCAAAAAAAAAGATTATTTTCAAACCCCAACTAAAAAATAATTGTTCAATTCTGAAGCCAGGTGCCTGGGTGACCTGTCCTAAGAGTTTGCTGGGGCCACCTGTTGTATGCAGGTTCTGCGAGGTTTTCGTGATGGTCCTGCACTACTGTGAATTCAGAATATAGAAATCCAGCTTCCAGCCGCTGACTAATGTTCCTGGGGGAGGGGCTGCTGCTGCAAACAGCTTCCCTTTCCCAAACCGCTCCCTTTGGCCTGGAATTCAGATGAGGAAACACACCCGGAGCGACCCTGCAGCAGTGGCTGGGCTGCCTTGGTGTGTCTGGCCAGGCCACTGGGAAATCTGTAGCCTGGGGGCTCCGGTGGGTGAGGGTAGGCTCTGCACTGTCACTCTGATGAGCCTGGTCTGCTGACATCTGGGGACAGAGTTCTCCGACCACGGATCAGAAAAGAAACTMGCTGGCCTCTTCTGATTTGGCACAGACGTGGCCAAAAGAGCTGCCTGGTCTTGTGAAACTCCCATCCCAGATTGCGGAGGGATGMGCACCCTGGCTCCTGTGGGAGCAGCATTTCAGTGGGCGGGGAACAAACTACAGGAGACAAGGTGCAGGTGCCTTGTGCGAAAAGCCTTGGCGGAAAATCGCCACCAGGCCGGCACGGTGGCCAGCTCTTCCYACCCCGGGCTTGAAACTGGGCAACGTCAACTTCAAAATGCCCCCAACTTCTAAAAGCACCAAACGAGCGCCAGGCGGGGGCGCCCTGGAGCGCGCGGCGCCGGGTCGGTCTCGGGCTTCGGTGGCGCTCTGCCCCGCCTCCGAGTCCCCCTCCAAGTCCCCGGCCACCCGCCCCGCGGGGCGGTTCCGAGGTCGCCGCGGCGTTTCCCGTGCGCACTCGCGCCGGCCAGGACACCGCCTCCGGGGCGGGCTCCCAGGTGCCCGCAGCGCCCGCGCTGCCCGCGCCCCTCTCCCGCGGCGCCGGGCGGGGAGGGCCGGGCGCGGTGGGTCCAGTTGCCGTCCGCGCGCCGGGGCGCCGAGGGACCCGCCCCGCCCGCGCCCCCTCCCCGGCCGGCGTCCGCGGGCCCGGTGGCCGCCCGGTGCCCTCCCGCGCGCGCCGCTCCTTCCCGACCCGTCCCCCTGGGCCGCGACCTGGGCGCGGGGCCACCCGGCGGCGGCAGCTCCGGTCAGCCTGGGGCCTGCGCCTCGCCGGCGCCGTCCGCTCTCGCCCCGCCCCGTCCGCCCGCGTCACGCGCCGCGCTCGGGCCGCCGCCCGCGCCCCCACCCCCGCCCGCCAGCCCGAAGAGGAGCCTGGGGTCCCCGGGGCCCGCCGCGCCACCCGGAGGCGCTCKGCGAAGACCATCCTGGCGTCTCGCGGTCGGGGTGGGCGCCGCGCCTCCCGGGATCTCTCGGCTGCCGGCGTTTCCGGAGCCTGAGTCTCCCTCTCCAGGCGGTGGGCAGCTCGACAGCCGGCACCCACCTCTTCCCCGCTTCCTCCTTCAGCAGGGGAAGCCCAGTCGGCTGCGTCTCGGTCCTGTCCCGCGCTGGCCACGCCTTAGACTTCTTTTCACCTGTTTACCGCACACGGTTGGAGGTGGGGCCAGTTCTAAGCCCTGGATTCGTGGCCCCCTCCCCGGAGGGCCAGAGCTGACATTTTGGGTTTGGGCTGGGCTTTTCGTAGGCCTCAGCTGATGCAAAGATAAAAACCTCTTGTGTGTGTGGTTGTTTTTTTTTTTTTCCTTCCTTGTTAATTCACAATAATTTATCAAGCACCCATTTCAGACGGCGGCTGAGAGGGTTGCGCAGGCTGAGCACCGCACGAGGGCTGGCCCAGCAGCATCGCTCCAGTCAGGGCTGCGCCTTCTCCATGGAAGGTGTCTTTTTCCGCTTGGTCCCACCTAGCATGGCCCCAATTAACTCATAATTGAGTGTCATAAATTTAACAAGTACTTACTAAGCACCTCCCTGTATGCCAAGCACARCTTCAAATGCTCTGGCCTCATCCAATGTCAACAGTGGCACTGCTCCCAGCAGCAGGTGTGCGAGGGCTGCCCAGAGAAGCCCATCCACGGGCCCAGCCCTGTGGAYGCTGTGGTGCCTGAAGCTTCGGGAGTGCAGTCTGTTGAGGGGTCTGCCCCACGACCGGCCTGTGAGGAGCTGATTCCAGAAATGTCAACCCCTCTCTACTCTGGACAGAAGCCACACTAGAGCCTCTGCAGGTCCAGGCAGGGCACCCAAGAAGTTTGTCTTTCCCTCCAGAAGCCACAGGGCACAGGCTGGCTGGAACACTTTTATTYGGCAGCATGCGGCAGGCAAGGTCAGGAGGACACTGCTGTCCTTGGTGGGGCACTGCTGGGGTGGGTTTTACTTTGGGGGGGTAGTGCTGGGCTGGAATGATTTCCAAGCTGTCGGGAGCGTAGCCGGGCTGGAGGTGGACAGCTGGTCCCTGAAAACCATCTACCCTACTCATCCAAGGTTCACGTGTCCCAGCCTTGCCCCCACTAGCCTGAGTCACCCTGTCCCCCAGGACCCACCTGGCTGCGGGGCTTCGGTGATGGTAAGGGCAGCCCACACCYGCCTGCAGCCACCCTACCTGGGGCCTGGCTTGTCACCTCAGACCAGGTCAGAGCCTGGGGCCGAGCCACCTCTGGTGAGCAGGCAGAGTGAGGGTCAGGGGTGGCCACAGGGCAGAAGTGGCTGGCAGAGCCTGCCTCTGCTTCTCAGACCTGTCATCTTTCAGATCTGTCATCTTTCAGATCTGTCATTGTGACGGCTGTCACAAATGTGACAGGTGTCTTGCCTGCTCCTGCTCCAAAGACCCCCAAAGGACCCAGAGAGAAGGGCCAGGGCGAGGTACAGGCAGACGTGGCCCGGCGTCCCCGCTGGAGACCCCTGTCCAGGAAGCCTGGGGATCCCTGCCCCTGCCCTCAGGCTCCGTCTCYGGGAGGGGCCCAGTTAGGCCACCCCTGACCTCAGTGGGGAGCGGGCCCCCAGCATGGGACAGCTGCCCAAATCCAGAGGCTCCACAGAGAAGAGGTGAGTGGGGGCAGGGACACACTGAAAGGCTGGGGACACCTGGCTTCCGCCTCCCCTTCCCAAACTCAGCCCTCTCCGACAGCAGTTTACCAGTCAGGGTTCAGTTGATGGGGGGCCAGGGGGCGTCAGGGCAGCGGGGGCCCGATGGTGATGCTGCTGTTGGTGACCCTCGGGCCGTACCAGCCGGCCCAGTAGTGGGTGTCCACGCCGCCGTGCTGAAACCAGATGTAGCGGACGCCGGGAGGGTAGTTGGAGAAGGTGTGGGAGACCTGGGGTGGGGCAGGCAGAGGGAGGCCAGAGGTCAGGGCCACCCCCAGTGGCACTGCCGGGTGGGGGCTGGGGAGCCGCAGTCCAGTCTCCAGGATGGACCAGGAGCTCCAGCCCCCGCTCTGTGCCTGGGGCAGACGGCCTCTCTCTGTGACTTGCCTTCCTCATCTGTCAAACAGCAAAATCCCACCCAGGCCACTGGGCCCAAAGGACCTGACAGTGTGGGCGCATGGCCAGGGTAAAAAGCACAGGATACTGGGGCTGGGCCGGGGGCTCAGGGCAGAGCGCTCGCCTAGCGTGTGTGAGGCGCTGGGTTCGATCCTCAGCACCAGTAAAATAAAAAAGTAAAGTGATAAAGTGATAAAAACAGTAAGAATTAACACTGCAGCCCCTCAGCCGCCCGGGAGCGGCTCCTCCTAGGGGCCAGCGTCCTGTGCGGCCCCTGGCTAGTGCACGGGCGGTGCGGACAGCATTCCTAGCACTGCAGCAAGCTCCCGGGACCCAGCAACAGCCTGCAGGACCACGGCCCGGCCCGTCTCTGTCCATCACGTGACTGGAACAGCCGGCCCGGTCACATGGTGACAGCAGGGTGGAAGGCTGAGTGGCAGTGACAGACAGAGGCTGGTGAAGCCTAAGGACTCTGTACCTGGCTGCTTCAGAGGGCCCGGGCTTGTGTAGGTGACCCAGGTGCCCGTCTAGGCCCAGGTGCTGCTCAGCTCACCACGGGACTGTGTCCAGGTAAACGCACGCAAGCCGAGCAGGACGGGGGGCCCTCAGGACCCTGAGTGGAGACCTGCGCTCTTGGACATAAAACGGGGTCAGAGCCCGAGGAATCAAGAAGGCCCGGGTCACGCTGCTGTGAGCGGGGACCCTCTGTGGTCACAGCTGAGAGCAGTCATCTATGGCAGCCCTTCTGGACAGTTTGATCTCGTGTCTCTTTCTCTCCCCAGTGCCAGCCAGTGCTGCACCTGGGAGCTGCCCCTGCCCAGCTTGCTGTCTGAGGGCGTCCCTGGTCACTGACTTCCTCCTTTTCTGAGGGAAGACTAGTCCAGGCAGCAGAGGGGCCCAGGCGGGAGGCGGCTGGCTCTGAGCCCCRCAGTGGGAGCCCTGGGCCCGCCCCTGCCTGCCAGGCCACGCACCTCCCTCCATCGGGCGTCGCTCTTCTGCTGGATCATCACTGGGTCTGGCTGGAAGGTCCCCAGAGGGGCGTGYGCGGAGGACAGGAGCTGGACGCACAGCTGGTACTTGGACCCGCAGTCTGGCCTGGCTGCGAACCTGTGGGCAGAGGGAGGCCCATGAGGGCCTGGGAGAGTGGGGGCAGGGTGGGGGTGGGGCGCCGGAGTGGCAGGCCCCACCCAGACCCTCGCCCCGGGCACTCACCAGTCCTTGACCTGGATGTCCGGTCGGGTGGTGTCCATCAGCTCCTCCCAATACCCTTCAGCCTTGAGGTCCACCACCTGGGACTTGAGGCAGGTGCTGGGGGCGGTGGAGGGTGGGACGGGGCTGGGACTATCCCTCCCAGGGGCGGGAGAGACCCCAGGGTGAAGTGACTTGGGCTCCCCCCCCCGAGACCCCCGATCTTACTAATAAGAAGTCACGAAGTATTTCTTGACCTGGTCATTGGGGAACTCCTTCCGCTGGTCTTTGGAAAGGTCCTCCACCTTCCACTCATCGCCTCCGTTCACATCCAGGCTCCAGAACTCAAAGCCCTCTGTGGGAAAGCCRAATTCACCACGCGGGGACGACAGTGGCCACCTGCTCCCCAGGCCCTTCCTCCCCACTCTTCTCCCTGGGTCTCAGCAGCCCCTCCAGCCCCRTGCTGTGGGTCACTGCAGATCAATATTGTCCACCACAGGTGCTTCCTGTGTCCGAGTCTAGGTAAGTGATTTCCATTGAGAGTCCCGGGCAAAACCCACCAGACCCCTTCTGTGTCAAGGGCAACACAGACCCTGGTCTCAGACAAGCTCTAACAATACTAAGCTGTGTGATCTCAGACAAGTTACTTTCACTCTCTGAGCTTTAGTCATCTCTGTAAACTGCAGTCAAGAATGCAAAGACACTGGGTGCAGTGGCACACGCCTGTAATCCCAGTGGTTCAGGAGGCTGAGGCAGGAGGATTATGAGTTCAAAGCCAGCCTCAGCAACTTAATGAGGCCCTAAGCAACTCAGCAAGACCCTGCCTCTAAATAAAATAGAAAAAAGAGCTGGGATGTTGCTCAGTGGGTGAGTGTCCCTGGGTTCAACTCAGGTACCCCCCCAAAAAAGGGGGGGGGGATGGGACGAGAAGCGTCTCCTGCAGAGTGGCACATATTTAGCTTTTGGGGCCCTGTGCCATTTCTGTCACACAGGGTTTTTTCCTTGCTTCCTTTTTTTTTTTTTTTTTTTTTTTAAATAATCTTTGTAAAATGTAAGGTTTCCCTTCACTCCTTGACCACTTCTGGTTCGAAGGCCATGTTTTGCCGAACACTGGTCAAGAAGAATGTGCTGGGAGGGCAGGAGCACAGCTGGCAGCAGCTGTTTTGTCAACACTTGACACTAGAATTTGACCATGGAACAGAGCACAAGGTCGCCATCCCACCCGGGTGACGAAGGAAGGAGGGGGTGGCTGTGGAACCCTTGTTTTGCCTGTGGGGGCACCACGCTGGAAAGACTGGGTATCCCCTCTTCTATAAGCAGAAGCCCATGTCCTCTAGGGCAGTCTGAGGAGTCCCAGGCTAGAGTCTGAAAATGAGGTCCAAAAAATGTGCCTCCAACTTATGTCTTGGGCACAACCAGTCCCCACTGGACAACAGTTCCTTTCCTAGGGAAGGTCACTGGAGAAATAATTGTGAGAGTCGAATAAGAAACAGCATCCTTGGCCTCAGTCTGTCCACCTGAAAAATGGGTGCATGGACAGTGCCCACCTCTAAGGGTTATCGTGAGAACATAAAAGGACTTAGCTACAGGAAGTGGTCGGTATGTGTCAGCTGCCTCCGTGTGTGTTGGGGCACGCAGACCTCTCTCACCCACCTTCAGCACACGGGTTGTGCAGGAGGTTCCTGTGGAGGCTACGGAGGAAGTAGAAGATCTTCCAGTCGGCCACAGGCTGGTCCCAGTCCTCGGTGATGAAGCCCTCGCGCAGGCACTTGCGCTTCCAGAGGGTCACCAGGTCGATGAGGTCTCGCCAGAGGCTGCAGACCAGGCGGCAGCGCAGCAGCAGCTGGCGGGCAGGCACATGGGTGAACAGCTCCAGCAGGATGTTCTCGGGCAGCTCGTTGATGTTGCCCACGGCCATGGCGGTAGCTTCTGGACACCCCCTGTGGTTATTGAAAAGCCGCACTACAGACCTGGCCCTCTCCCCAGAACCCGCTATTTGCAGCACCCAGTAGTGGTGGAGGTTCCCATCCCAGCTGTCATTGACTGTGTCAGGAAAGTCACTGTGCCTGTCTGAACTTCCGTCTCCTCCTCTAAATTTGGCCAAGAACAGTCCTTCCTTCCAGGGGTCATGGGCAGTCTAAGAAGCATGGGACACAGCAGGTGCTCAACACAAGGTGGGCTCGGGTTTTTTTTCACTGACACCTCAGAACCACCTCTAGGGAGACTAGGGAGGTCCAGAGAGGTTGAAGGAACTGCCCAAGGTCACGCAGACAGGGGCAGAGGGGAGAAGGAGCCCGGTGCTTTCTGAGTCTAGGGCTGGCCTTTTTCAATAGGCCCGTCTTTAGCSGAGGAATAACAGTGCCCAGCGCAGGGCACCTGGGCCTGTCCAGGTCTTCTTCATCCTCTCCCTCTCCAGAGGAGAGGAGGGGCAACGCTGGAGGGCGCTGGGGATATAAATCACTGTCCTCCCAAGGTCCAATGGGCTCAGCGACTTTCCCAAGATCACAGAGAAATGCCCTGCCTCGCTGGGACTGGAGAGGGTGGGCCAAGGGCCAGGGCCCTGCCTACCTCCCCGCCCCCACCCCATGGCTAGGCTCAGCCCCAGCCCCCCAGMGCGACTGTGGCGCCCCATTCCCACCAAAGTCGGGACCGGACCTCAGCGCGTCGATGGCGACCTCAGCTCGCGCTCCCGGCCCTGTCGCGGTGGGCAGCCGCCCTGCGGCGCCGGGACAAACCCCGCGGCCTGGGCCTGGTCGGCGCCGAGCCTCCCCGGGCGCACTGCGGCGCGGCGAGAGCCWCGGAACCCACAGCCTGGCGCCCACGGCCGCGCCCCCTCCCCAYGGCGCTCCGCGTCCCCACCGCGGGTCACCTGCGCTCGTCGGCCGCTACGCGATCCCGCTCGGCCTCCGGGGCTGCGCAGCCTGGGCCAGCGGTCGCCGAGGATGCGGCCCCGCCCCGCCCCGCCCGCAGGCCCCGCCCACCCAGGTCCCGCCTCCACCAGGCCCCGCCCCGTCCCCTCCAGACCACGCCCCGCTCCCGCCAGGCCCCGCCCCGCCCCTGCTCCTCTTCTCTCCGTGCTCCTCTCCCCTYCCCTCCCCGCGCCGCTCCAGCCGGGGACGCGCCCCGCCGCCGCGTAGGAAAATTACCTGCGCGGGGCGGAAGGAGCCTCCCACCCCCAACTCCGCCCGGGCCGCGCGCCCCGCAGGTCCAGGCTCGCCCTGCCCCCTCGCCGCCTCGTCCCGCTGCCACCGCAGGGGCGAGCTGCGCGACACCCCACCTCGGACCCCCATCCCCCAATCAAAAAACCGACTCCGACCTTTGCCGGCCTCCCGGGTCCACCGAGGAACCCGCAGCCTCAGGCCTCCGGCCCGACGCGGGGACTGCGGGGCGGCCGGGCGCCCGGCCAAAGGCGGGGCGGGGCGAGCGCGGGGACCTTTAAGAGGCGCTGCCGCCCGGGCGCCCCGGTCTCGAGCGCGGCTGGACTCCTCGCCGCCGCCGCGAGACTCGGCACCCGCAGCGCTCCGGCTCCTCCTCCTCCCGCGACCGCGCTCCGCAGCGATGGACGGAGACGGAGACCCAGGTAGCCGCCGCCTGGACCCGCTCGCTCCAGCCCGGGAGGGGAGACAGGGCAGGCGGGCCAGTGCCCCCGAGGGTCCTCGGAGAGCGCGGGGTCCCCGAGAGCCGGCGCGCAAAGTTTCACGCAAGCAAAGCCCTTGGACAGCCTCGAGGCGGGAGGCCTTGAGGAGCGACAGGCAGGGAGGGAGGACTGCTGGGTTCCCAAACTGGCATTGCACTCCCCCGTTCCGCCTGCTTCCTGAGGGTTTGTGGGRCTGGGGGCTTCTGGGCGGAGGAGCCCCCAAGCCTTTTTCTTCCATCAACTTCTTCCGTTTGTCCGCTCTGGCCCGTCAGCTGCCTGGACCCTACGGGTTTCTTGGGGTTTCTAGCCTCTCCCCACCCATTTCAGTCTTCCCCTGGGGCTCCCTCTGGGTGGCAGGAGGAACCGAGGGACCGCTCCCCAACCTAAGGTCCTCCAGATTGCCCAGTCATCTTTGCTGGCACCCAAGACCCTCCCCCATTCCTCAGCTTCCTGTTGGGCCTGTAGGGGTTGCCTGCTGAGTCAGGGTGGGGACAAGACCTCCCTGCAGTTTGCCCTTACCCAATTCCTCACCTCGCGGGTGGCTTTGGCAGGCCATGAACCCATGCACACCCAGGTGGCCAGGCCCCCTCTCCTGGCTCTGAAATTCCAGCTCCTGCATCCCCCTCCCAATCTGTGGCCCCCCCATGTCACACTTTACCAGCCCTGGGCCTGGTTTTTCCCAGGGCCCAGTTATTCCTGTGGACTCCAGGGCCCCATCCAGGTGAGTGAATCAGCCTGGAAGCAGCTTCCAGGCCCAGATAACTTTCCTCCAGCAACAATGTGAGGAGTTGTGTGAGCGAGAGTGGGGGTAGGGGGCTGTAATCAGATCCGGGGCCTCAGTGCCAGGCCAGGGGGCCAGGAGAGAGGACTGGGCAAGGTGCACCTTTCGGGGGAGCATCAGGTGTCCACTGGGGCCAGGGCAGGGCAGGTGTGTGTGTGGAGAGGTGAGGACACTGGGCCCAGCTCCCCAGAGAGCTGTGGGCAGCAGAATGGCCAGGCATTTTCCTTTCTGCAGTGTGACCTGGAGAAGCTGCTCAGCCTCTCTGGGCCTCAGTTTTCTCTTTGCCAAAGGGARGGGGTGAACCCATATATCATTAAAATGTGACCTCAAAATGCTAATCACAAAGAAGAGAAAGGGCAGCACTTAGTAAGGTTCACTGAGTTCCTGAGGCCTCACTGTGCGCACTGAGCTCTGAAAAGGAGGTCAACCCGAGCTGGAGGTGCTGGTGACATCAGACTTGGGTCTAGGCTCTGCTACCTGTCCCTTCCCCCACCGCCACCTTGGCTTTCCAGGGCCCAACCTTCAGGAACTCCCCATCTTAGTTCTGAGRGTGGTGGCCTCCCCGCCACTAGCTGTCCCTCCTCCAGAGCTCCTGGGCACTGCATCTGCTTCCTCAAACTCCCATGGCCCAGCAGAGGTGGGCTGGGATCCAAGAGATGGTCCAGCCGGCCACTGCTGACACTGCTGGCCCTCTGCCTCCAGTTCACAGTGTCCTCCCCTACTCCTTGGGGGATTTGAACATCAGCACCATCAGGATGGCCGTTTCCAGATGAGAAAACTGAGGGTCAGGGATGGAGAAAGAACGGGTGACAAAAACTTCCTTTCCCAAGCCCCTAGAACATTTTCTTGTATGATACACTATTTCCCACCCCCAAGTCACTCAGCAGTGGCTGGTTGGGGGCAGTGGGTCTCCAGCCCCTAATCTTCAGGTCTAATATTTCCTATCCTAATATTACCTTTAGCAGGTCACTTTGCATCTCTGAGCCTGATCGTTTTCACTTGGAAAATCAAAACCACAACTGTGCCTAAAAAATAACCCAACACATTATTTTGTTGGAACAGTGTGGTCAAAGGTGGCTCTAGAGCCAGAGTGGGCTCCAACACAGGTCCAGCTACTCATTAGCTGTGGATCACTGCTCTGTGCCTCAGTTTCCTCATCAATGAAATAGGGGCAGCCATAGGCTCAAGATTCTGCTGATTCTAGAATAATTGAAACGTTTAAAAACAGCACTTKACGTTTGCTAAGTGCCTGATAAACACAAGCTCCTGAGAGCCCCAGGCAGGATCCTGTCTCCCAGAACTGATTCGGGTGAAGTCAGTCTAGTGCAGAAAAAGCTCATCAAGTCATCATACCCCAGGCAAAAGCTAGGAAGCCCTGGGAGGCCTCTGAACTTGGGCTGTGAGAGAATGTACTAAGGGGAAGTTTGGAAGGCTTCCGGGAGGAGGGGAGGGGAGCAGGGGTCCTGGAGGGTGTTTAGGAGGACTGAAGGGATTGCTCTGGGACAACGCTATCCATGGCAGCCATCAGTTACGGTAGGGTGGCTGCTGTCGTTTGTTCAAGGGTGGAGTTTCCCGCCAAGCAGGGGAAAAAGACCCATGTGGCAATTATTCAGACCTAGGGGACCCATCTTAGTTCTGCACCCTTGGGCTTCCTCCCTGTGCCTCGGTCTGGAGTCCCAGCTCTGTGCCTCTGTGCCTCGGTCTCTGTCCCCAGCTGTGGTTGCCCCAGGGTGGGTGGAGGGCCCATCTGGGGCGCGGAGGGGGGACAATCTGGAGGTCACAGCCGCCTCTCCCCTGGTCACAGAGAGCGTGGGCCAGCCGGAGGAGCAGCCGGAGGAGGCGTGTGTGGAGGCCGAGGAGGAGCAGCCYGGGGAGGAAGAGGCATCAGGCGAGGAGGAGGCGGCGGCGTACCTGGCGGAGCTGCCCGAGCCGCTGCTCCTGCGCGTGCTGGCYGCTCTGCCGGCCGCCGAGCTGGTGCAGGCCTGCCGCCTGGTGTGCCTGCGCTGGAAGGAGCTGGTGGACGGCGCCCCCCTGTGGCTGCTCAAGTGCCAGCAGGAGGGGCTGGTGCCCGAGGGTGGCAGCGACGACGAGCGAGACCACTGGCAGCAGTTCTAYTTTCTGAGCAAGCGGCGGCGCAACCTGCTGCGCAACCCGTGCGGGGAAGGTGAGGGTGACGTCCCTGGCCCCGCGCCTGGGGAACGGGCAATCAGTGCCAGCCCCTCCTGCTGGCGCAGCGTCACAGGAGATGAAGAGCTTGGCTTAGGGCCTAGCACCCAGCAGCCCCTGTTAGCAAGATTACTGACAGCTCCCCGGCCACCTGCTCCTGGGGGGCCTCTTTCCCAGGGGGGGTGGGTGGGACTGGCCCTGTGGACAGCCATCCCAGGGGAGAATCAGGAAGTGCCCACCACGCCACCCCCCATGGTCTGCACACTCCTGATTCCGTGAAAGTACCACGTTCACCCTGTCCCCCACTGTAGTGGTCAGAGCCAGCCCTGCTGCAGCTTCAGCAGGCACTGGGTGACCAGGGTGGGGCTATCGTGTTCCTACAGAAGACTTGGAGGGCTGGTGCGACGTGGAGCATGGCGGGGACGGCTGGCGGGTGGAGGAGCTGCCTGGAGACAGTGGGGTGGAATTCAGCCACGATGAGAGCGTCAAGAAGTACTTCGYCTCCTCCTTTGAGTAAGAAGATGGTGTGGGGGAGGGCGGGTGTGGGGGGCTCCTCTGTGTCCTAACTCCAGTTCTTCCAGGTGGTGCCGCAAAGCACAAGTCATTGACCTGCAAGCTGAGGGCTACTGGGAGGAGCTGCTGGACACCACCCAGCCGGCCATCGTGGTGAAGGACTGGTGAGAGTCAGTGGGGACCTCTGGATTGGGATGGGGAGGGGAAAGCCGAGGGGACACCACCTCTAGTGTTGTGATCCTGGGGGCCACAAGTCTGCAAGCGTTGACAGCTTCCAAGTTCTTAGGAAAGGGTGGAAAGCCATGTCGGCCTGAGTTTCAAATGTTGGCACAGGCAGGTCGATAGTCACCGTCTGAACAAAGTGACTCTGTGAGCTGGCTTTGGCCSAACTGGGGTTTAGTCCTTGTTTTGGATCTTGGGCCAGTTCCTTTCTCTGTTTGGCCTCGGTTTCCTCATCTGTGAAGTGGGTCGCTGGTCGCGGGGTAGGGACCCTGGGCGCACAGGAGACCTCTGGGAGAAGGCGGGTCCCCAGCCGCGCCCAGCAGGCCCGGCGCTCTGTCTGGCAGGTACTCGGGCCGCACGGACGCKGGCTGCTTGTACGAGCTCACGGTGAGGCTGCTGTCGGAGCACGAGGACGTGCTGGCGGAGTTCAACAGCGGCCAGGTGGCGGTTCCCCCGGACAGTGAGGACGGCTGGATGGAGGTGAACGGGGCGGGGACGCCTGGGCGGGCGCGGGCGGGCGGGCGCAGGGGCGCGCTCCTGCAACCGAGCTGGGTCGCCGCGCGGGACCAGCCCTCGAGGCTGACGTCCTGCATCCTCCCTAGATCTCCCACACCTTCACCGACTACGGACCAGGAGTCCGCTACGTCCGCTTCGAACACGGGGGACAGGACTCCGTCTATTGGAAGGGCTGGTTCGGGGCGCGAGTGACCAACAGCAGCGTGTGGGTGGAGCCCTGAGAGCCCCCTGCTGCTCCCAAGCCGCCCTGCCCCGYGGAGCGGAGGCCGGGGTGGACAAGCCTTAACTTAGTCGCCAGCACCTCGCCCAGCCGTGCCCACCTCGCCCCGCCGTGCGCGCCCCTCCGCTCTCCCAGCCCCACGCGGCACCTTCGCTGGCTCACATTCGCTTCTGTCGGCGGCGGCTAGTCGTCGCCGGCCGCTTCTAGGGTGTAAGATCCGRGGGGCGCGGGCCTGCTGCTGAACCCGCACCCAGCACCGTGCCTGCCACAAAAGGGGGTGCAGAATAAATATTGTTTGTCCAAGGAGGGAATGAATGAACAGCGGATGAATGGGCGCCTCTCCCTGCCCGTCCGTCTCCCGAGGCCCYGGCCCAGCTTGGAAAAATACTTGGYGGGGCTCCAGCTGCTCCGGTTTCCAGGGCTGCTATGGAGCCTGGGCAGAGTGGCCCGACAAAGGCGGAATTGTGAGGCTCAGGAGGTGGCGAGCTGGGCCTGGCGCCTGACTGACACTCGAGCTGCCCAGAGGCCAGAACAGGGCGGGGGGCTGCCCTCCAGGCCTCTGTGGGCAAAGTGATCATTCCTGGCCTTGCTGCACCCGCCCCTAYGCCCTTTTGGAAGACAGGGTGGGCTCCCCTGGGCCCAGGGACAGAGGAGAGTGGCTGGGGGTGGGGAGGGTAGCCTGGCCTCCCTGSCCCTTCACGGCCTCTTCAAGCTGTCCTTTCTGGCCCAGTGTGGGATTGGACAGGAGTCATTAGTCTCTGGTCTYGTGGTCATTTTCCCAGCCCTGTCCTGGGGCTAACCCCTGTCTCCCAATTGGGGGAGGAGCGGTATGAAGGGTGTGCTAGGCTGTGGATCCTGGCCCAGCCTCTGGATCCAGCCTCCCAGCAGCTCTTGAACCCAGTGACATCCAAGGGCAGTGGGTGACTGGCTGGGGCCAGTGCAGCCAGTAGCACCTTCTAGACCCCAAAGGTGGATGGGAGTTTCAGCTCCCTACTTGGGTGGGGGGCTGTGGTTCAGCTCTGCCTTGAYCCTGAGCCTAGCGCCACCTGCTGGTCGGGGCATGCAGGGCTCCGGTTGGCTGGCAGCCATTGGCCTTGGGCTCAACTCACTGTCCCAATCCTGGAGCCCCAGCCTGGGCCAGGCCCTGAAGTTCAGACGTTCTGTTCCAGGAAGAACCAGCAACCTGGCAACATGGAAGATGGGCACTTGGGCAGGGATGTCAGCCTCAGGCTGAGAGGGGAGAAGGGCCTTGACCTCAGGGTCCAGGGGAAGCGRAGCCCTTGGCCAAGGGAACCGCCATCCTGCCATCCTCGCTGGAGGATCCCCAGGGTGATAGGGAAGGCCCAGTCCACACCCTCCCGAGTTGCCAGTCACAAGGGCCAGGTCCCTGCCTGGGGCCCAGTGKGATGCGGGCGGGTGAAGGGAGACACCCTGTGGTTAAATACACAGCAGCAGGCGAGAAGCACCTTGGGCGCAGGATGGGCTGCGAGGGCAGCGGCCGGAGCCCATGCGCCCTGGAGGAAGCTGTGCAGGCACAGAGTGGCGGGGAGGCGGGGGTAGGGGCAGGTACGGGGGACGGGGTGTCAGGGCAGGAGTGTGGGAGGAGCTGCAGGGGGAGCCCCCTGAGCTGAGGGGCCCCTGTGCATCCAGGAGAGAGGCCCTGGGGGCCCCGGGGCTCTGGCTGGGGATGCAGCGGTGGGAGTTGGCCTGTGGCCTGCAACCAAAGCCAAGTGCACCCAGAGCAAGGGTGGAAGGAGGCGGGACAGGCCTGGGGTTGGGATGGATGATGGGCAGGAGGGGCCGGGGGACCAGGGGGGCTGGGGGGGCGGGAGGGGCAGGCCCCACAAGGCCACCTCCAGCCAACTGCCTGGTCTTAGAGGAAGGAGTCAGAAGCCCACAGGAGCCTGAGGGGCATGGAGGACGGGCTGTGGACCCCTGTCCATGAGTGGCGGTCATTGGAGGGACAGTTGGGTTCGACAGTGGCATTTAGTTCAGGGAGACCAGAGGTCTCAGGTGGCCTCTGCGCTGTCCAGAGGTTGGTGCTGCAGGGGAAGGTGGCCTGCCCAGCTCACGGTGCATGGAGCACTTCCTGTCGTGCCTCCATCTGTCCAGTCAGAGATGGGGGCAGGAGAGGGTGTCACCACTCCTTCTATACCTGAGGAGACTGGGCACCAGAGAACTGACCCCCRAGTCCAGCACAAGCCCAACACAGCTGCACCAGGTTCCAAGTGCTCAATTGTACTGTCCCCACCCTAGAGGGCAGAGCCAGCCCTATGTGTGACTGTCACAGCAAGTCAGATCAGTCTGCTGTGAGAAAAACATTGTGTTGTCCAGCGGGGACATCCCAGGGCTCTCTCTGRCCAGTGGGGTCAGTTGGAGCCAGAGACGGCAGACAGGGGCTGCATATTCCCTCCATATTTATTGAGCACTTACTATGTATTGGGCAATGACTCTGCTTTCCTGGAATATGTCATCTAGGTGGAGGAACTAGATGAAGAATCAGACAGTCACCAGCATGCTGTCACAGGTACACAACAGGTGGAGTTTCATTTACATAGATTTATCATATTCTTATGAAATGGAAACTGTTATTTCCATTTTTATTAACAGATGAAACAAATTTAAACAGAAGTTCAGCAACTTGCCTGAGGCTATGCAGCTAATGAGTGGTATCTCCTTAGCCACCAGGCACTTGACCTCTAAAGTAAACAAAGAGTGAGCACAGTAGAGTGCTCCTCTGACCAAGGTAATCAGGAAGGACCTTTCTGAAAAACTGGCTTTGGAATTGAATGGTGAGGAGGATCAATCCATTTCCCTGGGGCAGTACATTATAGGAGAGTCAAGTTCAAAGGCCCTGGGGTGGGAATGAGCCTATTTACAGATCAGAAAGGCAGCCAGCATGGCTGGAGCAGCGAGTAGGGAAGTGACTTGACACGAGCTGGGAGAGGCAGACAGGTAACCCTGCGTCTCCTGAGGTCCTACTGTGTGCTCTGCCCAATATGCTGTAGATGCTGGGGAGCAGATGTGATGTCAGTTTCCTTTAGGAAACTTTGCTCTTTCCATCAGAAGCTGGATGGGGTGGGAGTCAGGCACCAGTAGCTGAGGTTATGAAGCCAGGCTTCCTGAGAGTGGCTGGGTGAACAGGGTGGTGACCATGTGCTGTGGACAGTGACGGTGGCAATGACGATGGGTGTTTGCTGGGGCCTCGTGGCTGCCAGCTCCCGAGCTGAGAGCACAGGCCCCTCTTGCCTGGGCAGTGGCCTCTTTGGTGGGTCTGACGTCCCCACTTCATGGAGAACAGAGCAGGTCTTCAGAGGTGGGAGCTGCCTGGGTCAGTTGACCAGGAGGCGGGCAAGGCTGGGCTTCAGGCTCGGCCTGAACCAGGTCGCCGTGGGCAGGATCGAAGACAGAGCAGGGGAGGAGCCAGGGGCTCCCAGGGGTGGGAGGTGACCAGGACAGAGGCCCCAGGACTTCTGTGGGTGGCGCTACCCCCAGGCAGCGGGAAGGGGTGCTGGGGTCTCTGGGCCGCTTTGGTTAAGGGGTCAGAGGAGGTTAAGTGAATTTCCTCTTGGATTTCGTGGTGGCCACCTCCAGTTGACCTTCTGTGGCACTGTGGGGCATTCTGTGCTCCTCTCTTKTGATTCATGGCTGCGCCAGTCGAGGCTGGATGTTTGGGTGAAGTCAGGGGAGGGAGGCAGAGGCAGTTCCTCCGAGCACCACTGGGTGGCAGCATTGTCAAGGCGGTCCCCAGGCTGGGCGCCTCCGCCTCCCGGTTGGTCGGGATTTGAAACCCAAGAGGAGTCTCTCAGTTGCTTGGGGGCTGAGGCGGGTCCTCAGGGGCTGGTTTTGGAGGCTCTGGTAGCACAGGGACTGCMGAAAAAACTTAGGAGCTGGGTCCTCTGGGACTAGGAAGGGCTGGTGGCCTTTGGGGTCCAGGAGCTAGACCCGGTCCCTCTCTGCCTCAGTGGGGGGCCCTGGGCCTTCCCTGAGCCCCCGCCCCCATGGCCTCCAGTGAGCACAGCACACTCAGGCAGATCCCATCCTGATCTCCTGGTGAGTAATGACTTGGCCATTTTTTTTTCTCCCTAAATTAAGCCTGATCTTGTGTTGACGCTGAACAAGGAGAATAATGAAGAAGATTAAGATGAGACGGTATTCATTCTCCTCCAACAAAAGCCAATTATTTGTCAGCAGGATTACTGCCCTGAGCCAGAGCTGCTATCAGCTCTGCAGACAGGGTCGGGTAGGGCTGGGGATGCTTATTGTGCTTCAGCTAGGGTCAGGAGGTGATGCAGCAGGAAAGATTTCAGTTAGATAAAGGAAGAACTGCCTGGTTGGGGATGGGGGCTGGAGCCAAGGAAGGGGATGTGAAGAGYGTGGAGTCATCCACGGAGAGGATGCTCATAGGTCACGGAGGGAGCCTCCACGGAGCCGGAGTCCTGCATGTACAAACCCCACGTTTGTTTCCTGAGGCCCTGGACCCCCTGGCCATGTCATTGCAGGCCACTTGGGACCCTTTCTGGGGTGTCTTTTGACCAATGAAACTGTCTGCAGTGGTTGCCAGCCCCCTCCCTGCTCTGCTTTCCCTTTTCTCTTCCTCTCCCAGGAATCAGGGAGGCTGAACCGCCGCGGCCTCCCTGGGAGGCTCCACTTTGCCATCCCAATTGATGGAGGGGGAGGCGGAGGCCCAGAGGGGCAGGTCTCAAACGAGAACCTGCAGCTCTTGCTGGGGGCCTCACCAGGGCTCTGGCCCTTCGTGCCCACGGCTTCGTGCCCTGGAGGGCGCTGGGCGCTGGCGGTGACCGAGGGAAGCCGCGCAGCCCTCGCACATTTCCCCGGCTCCACAYGGTCCCCTTAGTTCTCTGAGCGCAGCAGAGGTGTCCCCGAAGTCCAGCTGGACAGGCTCTGAGGGCCACAGCKCGGGCTCGGTGTTCAGAGCCCCGATCCGGGTGGCTTTATCTGACCCTCTGAGCACCCCCTGGGGACAGGGACCTGCCATTCCCCTCCCAGAGGCTGAGGTGAACTGAGGCTCAGAGAGGTGCGGCCTTGACCTGRACCACACAGCAGGGCTCGCCCAGCTGGATCCAGCCTCATCCTGGGCCTCTCCCCAGCAGGGGCTGCCCCGGGGTGAGACTCCCGGTGGACCGGCCGACCGCAGCCCTGGGGGAGCTTGGAGGAGGTGCCTTGGAGCTGTGGGTTTTCTGTGTCCCACAA